GCAGGAATTTTCTACATTGGCAAGACCAAAAGAAAATCTCATGTGAATCCATATCTTCCAAGAAGAGTGAGAATCAGATACACCCCTGGGATGTAACGAGCGAGGAAATTGATTTTTTACCCCACATAGTCACCTAAAAATTGGGAAGAAGGTGAGTAAAAAGTTACACGTGGGTTGTTGCATATCTTACTAGATCATCATTCCTATTTTCTTGGGCAAAATAGCAAAGTACCTAGTATACTTTATTAAAAATGTTTGCACAACTATAGTTTAATCTTTGTAACTGCTATTGCTAACCAGACACTAACATTTGCCCACATGTTCAGCACAGAAATGACAGCATAAAACTTTTTACAACACTTGTACTCCATAATAATACTGTCATCTTGAGTTTGAGGGATCATGACACTGTCTGTATGTAGTTTTAAATTCCCCAGTGATGCCAAATATATTTGTGTCAACAGACACTGTTCCAAAATACCAGAGTTCAGTTTAGCTGAATACCAGGGGACTGACTCAAATTACTTTGAAGGAAATAAATATATCTTTAACTAATTTAAATGGCAAAACATTGAAAACTTAGAAAATCTGTGTTAGAGTGGGAAAGCAATGAAGTAAGACATTTCAAGGAAGGCGAATAAATTTTGTATTTTCTTTAAATATATTATTGCAACCCTTTCCAATTCACGTATTTTCTCAGACATATGTGAAAATACTGATTTTACCAACGCATGATGGCATCTAATAAATTACTAATAATACACTGTTCTTAGAAATGTAAAATTCTGTCTACTACAGAACTATTCAATATAGTAAAATACCAATAATCATAGTAATAATATTAAGTGCTAATATTAAACCTTGCTAAGTACTTTCATGGATCGTTTATATAAACCTCCCAACAACTTCGTGAGATAGGTAAAATAATTTGCCAATTCCTATTCTGGTGAATGGTGAAGAACTTACTGTGTGCCAGGCACCGTTCTTAGTGCTGTATGTGTATTAACTCATTCATTTTTCACAGCTCCCCACAAAGCAGGTGCTCTCATTTATTCCCACTTTAGGCATGAGGAAACTTAGCTACAGAATTGAAGCGACCTGCCATGTTACTGTAATTGCCATAGCGAACACTCAAGCTCGGGCAGTCTGGCTCCAAACTCAGTCTCTTCCTTATTAAGCAGCCGCTCAACGCTAACTTATTTTCTTTGAGCCTTTTGTGTTCCAGGCAC